GCTGGAACCAAGCACACACTGTGGAGAAGGGTGGCTAATCACATATCACCTCACTAATTTTCAAACACCATGTCCCTATGCATGTGTGCGTGCACCATGAGCATGTGTAAATCTTTGCGCCTGTGTGCATGCTTACCTTTATGTGTCTGCCTGTGTGAGTGGTAAAAAAAACATGTCAAAGGTCACCTCTCTTAATGAAACATCGCCACGAGGCAGGTCCAGTGGCCTTGTCAAAAGCCAGGCCCATGAGCAGCTTTATAACCCCCCCCCCCCCGCATCCGTCTTTTATCAAACGCTTAGCAGGGAGAAGACCCTCAAGGTCAAAGCCAGGGTGTGAGCCAAGAGAGAGGAAGATGGTGAGAACGAGAAAGAGAGGAGGAGGGAAGTTACCGACTTCCACCCACCTCCACCACACTCTCTCCATGTACCATAACTCAAACCTCCACCTTCTGACCGTCTTTATAATTGTACACAGCAGGCGGTGGAGTAAAAACTGCCACAGTTGCTTTAAAGCCAGTGATAAACAAGTTAAAGTCTTCTATTCACACATTTAACCACTGTGTGGGGTTAAGTTACACTGGGCAGCAACAGGTTACACTCTTATTACACTGTGATGCTACAACACAATTTAGACTAGAAAAATATGAACACAATTAAGTTGAATATAATGCATATCTATGTCTGTACTGTAATGGCTGCAAGTCAAAGTTGAGTCTAGAAAAGCTGCCTTGTCATCTTGATAGCATATAGTGTGACAACTTGCTAAGCCCCAGTATACAGTAGCACCATTCCTCACTGGATTACAGCTCTGCAGCTTGTGCTCAGCCAAGCCCACATGCAGGGTCGCACAACATGCCAAACACACAACCACACACAGCCATGCACATATGGATCTTAGTTTCTCATTGGACTCGTCCCCTAACAAACTTGTAGCCCCATCGTCCCAGTACTGCTCCCCTGAATGCTTTTGTGCGTACGTGTGTTGTGTGTATTCAAGCTTCCCTTGTGTGTGTGTGTGTGTATTCTTGTCTGCAGCATGTATGACGTGCTGAGGAAGAGAGACTAAATCTTATCAGTTGAAGACAGAGGGAGGATTGTTTGAGAACAGTTCGCTTCTTTCCTTTGCATAGGTTTGAGGATTTAATCCGTGGGGCAGCAGTGGCCGTATGCTGGTAAACCCTGAAGAAAAGAAGAGAAGAGAGAAAGAAGGAGCGAGAGAGGGAGAAGAATAGCAGTAGAAAACTGACATGGTCAAAACGATGGCAGAGGCGTTTGTTATTCCTCCCACTCACCTTCCAGCCCTTATTCCTCCCTTCCTCTCTCCGTCCCCTCCCATCCCTCCTTCCTCTTGGCTAGGGCCCGAGGTCCACCTCTTCTTCAGTGCTGCGGCCAGGCTTGTTAGAAGCAGCTGTTGTTACTCCCTTGGCCAATGGGAAATGGAGGCTCCTCTCAAACACACAAGCTGCCCATCTGGAGAGGCATTAGTGGCAAAGGACACTATGAACCATTTCTCACACACTTAGCCAACACCAAGGTCAGCAAGGTGGGCAGAAGACAGAACATCCCTCCTTAACAAGCCACAGCCTTGGGTTGAGCTGCATTGTTTCCTTGTACTGTGTGTGTAGTTATGAAGGAAACACAATCACTATAGACTGTGTCAGAGTGTTGGATGTTCGGACGACAAACTGACCTGACCCCCTTCCTCTCCATGACCATGACTACTGCAGGTTTTACTGACAAATGAAAGCTACCACATTCCTTATACTAGTATAGGGCACACACACAAAAATGCACACATATTTATTTCATTTTATTTGTGGTCTTGTATGGACCTCTCAGCGCTCCAGTCCCATTGGTTTCTCGGGTTTCCTTCACTCGGTTTTTGTTTTTCTTTGTCACTGTTCATTGCCTATTATAAAGCTTTTTACCAATCAAATCACATTTGTCTTTTACTGGTGGGGAACATATGTCATTCACTGCTGCTGTAATGGGAGAAGCATGCCCATGTGCCATTGCATAGCTTTGAACTCGCCTGAACTTGATTGATTCCATCTGCCTTGATACGAGTGATGATAGATCTTCATCCTCATACTTAAAAGACAAACTAACTGTTTTCCTCTTCTAACCCTTGACGTCATCTTTCACTCCCTCCCACCCTCTGTTTTTCTGTCTTGCTCATTCTCCCTTCGTTTTCCCCACCATATTTGGGGGATTTACACATGAGCCAGCTTATAAAGCACAGCTTATCTGCTAACATTGTCTCATTATGACAACAACAACATCACATTCCATTATCGTCCTGCCCTCCTGGTTTTTCATTTCTTTGTACCTCAAGTCGTTGCTTGCTTTTAGGCATTTCAGGCTTTTCTTTCTCTTCAGTGTTCTACCTCTTCTACTGTTACACTTTATTGCTTTAATAATTAATATCTTTTTAACTACGGGTAGGTGATATGGCTGAAAATGTTATGATAAGAATGTCCGTATTATTATTATTATTATTATTATTATTATTATTATAAATATGACAAAATGCATTATTACATTTCAATATAAAATGATGATTTTGTCAAATTCAGTTGTGTTTTGGAACACTTTACATTACAGATTGTAGATGTTCATCTGTTTTCAAGACTTCAAACTTCAAATAGTTTAAATCTGTTCATAAAACATGTTGCATAGTGCAAAAAATATTTCAAACTGATGTACCACAATACTACTGCAACATTGATCCTTCCATCAAAATGTGGCCACTTATTTGGGTCCAGGTCACAACAGCAGCACATGAGAACAGCTCAGTTCCCCAGCCATGTCCTCCATCCCATTGGACACTGGAGCATTCTCTGGTTGGGATACACAATCTCTTGTACGTGTTCTGGGTCTTGTCCAGTGCCTCATCCTGGTGTAATGAGCTCAGAATACTTTTTTATGGCATGTGTAGTGTAGTGTAGTGTAGTGTGAGCTTTGTTTTATTTATAAATTAATTTCCCGCATCAGATGCAATTTTGAAAGGCATTTGAAAGGAAATGAGACATAATATAAATTACACAAACATTTCTTCCATGTCTTATTTTTTATACCCCTCCCAGCTGGTGGCATTCTAAGCAATCACATAGTTTGGCTTTGCCTGGTTAGATGATTCGTTTAATGGGTATTGACTCTCAGCCTTGTAACTTCATTTTATTATGTCCAATTTTATTTTATTTCAAAGATCACAAAGGATTACAATACCATGCATTCCAAAATGCCTACCTTATATAAAAATACACTTTAACTAGTTGGCAGTTCTGTTGTTTATGCTGTAATTGGTTGTTCTGGCACTAGGATCTGCTTCAATAATTAGCCAGTTGGTTAGCCTGCAGTGGAGTGGTATTAGTGTTGTGTTGGCTCATTTAAACGCTGTTTTCTGACATCTCCCTGATGAGATGCAGCCCATTTCCATTGAAACAATAACAAGCACAAGCAATCTGATTTAGGATAAATGATGTCTTTGTCTATTGTCTTCTAGAACAACAAAAACGACTGGCACGGGAAACACTTCTCTCTCTCTAGAGCCCTGCCTAGCCCTATTTACACATGCATACACATGCACACATACAAACCCAAGTGCACAGTAGGGATGGGTTGATATGTATTCTCAGTTCTACAGAACAATGTATTCTTAGATTTACACATTTGACCATGCCAGGTGTGAAAGGAAACATTCTTAATTGAACGACAGCTTAAAAAGAGCAATGCATTTTGTTATTTTATGTCAGAAGGAGTGAATTTAGTTCGGTATTCAAAACTCTTGTGGACTGCTATGAATTTTCACATAACCTATCACACATCTGGCTGTGAAGTCACCACAGAGGGGAGTCTGTAACTGTATTTAATTAGACAACTGAATCCTAGACAGATCAGTTGAACACACAGCGGTAAGAATCATCTTTGCGAACTTGGCCTGTTTTTGTGACAGCGACAACTTAAAGAGACATTTTGACACTGGGCTTTGGCACTGTCAGTACTCTTATACCTAGCTTACTCCCTATCACAATACAGTCTTGTCACTCTTTCCCTCTCTATGCACTCACACAAGGCTTGCAGAGCCCTTATCCTATGGTTATAAACTGAATGTATATGACACTTGTTAGGGCTTAGTGGTGCAGATTAACTGGTATTTCATTGGTAACTGGGAGTGTGTGGTGCACTTTGCTGGGCTGAGTTGGGTCTGGCTGGGATCCACGAAGAAGAGTGAAAAGAAGGACGGGTAATGAGCACATCCCAGAGGGAAGCGAGAGGAGACAGATACGTTCAGTGCAGGGCGATGATACTGAATGAGGATAGAAGGGATCAAGTTTAAAGGAGACTGGAAAAACAGCGAGGGGTGGAGACATGAGTGAAGTCCTCTTTAAGGAAAGCTGCGATTTCACCAGCGTCAGCAAAGTGTTTGTTTGTGTAACTTTATATGTGTTTGCGGGGCTTGTGATTAAATGGGTGCTTAATGTCTTCCCTACCCTCGTCACCCTGATTTATCTCTGACTGGGTGTACTGGCACAGTGAGGGCTGCCTATCATCTGCTGCTGGAGATTAGACACCAAGTCAGTCCTGCATCATCATGACGTCTGTGGACAGTAAATAGTGGCACAGCTTTTTTTGTGTATAACTTAGACAAAATGATTTAAAAGTGAGTTGGTAGCTGAATATTAACACAGCAGCACTGTAAATGCATTTTTTATTCTTTTAGCCACTCTTCAAAATAAATTATGGTTGCTTTTATCTTCAACAGCCACAGCTGTGCTTCTTCTGGTGTACATATGAACTCACTCAAACATATTCATACATCATTTTTATGTGTGATGATGAAAACCCTTGGAATGGAGTGATGGGATCAGTGATTGGATGATGAGGAGCCTCTAATATACAATTTTACAATTCTAAAAGAGTCTGAATAATAAAGCAGATTAACATGATTACCATGATGAGCCAAACAATTTATCTCCCGTGTTTCTGTTTTTTCACAGCGCACCCAGAAACCTCCAGTGAAGTGAAGCCCATTGGGAGACAGCCTGGAGGTGACAGCCCACATGAGAATCCTTCCAAGCCCCCCTCAGTGAAGGTGATAGGGGGCTCGGCATCTGTCAGCTGGGCACGACCCTGGAGCCTTGCACTGCTCTTTGCTGCACTGTGCTTGCAGTGGACCCTGTTCTGATGCCAGCGCCTTCTGTGAATCTGCCACCCAACCCTGCCCCTCTAGGAACCACATACATTCACACAGACACTCATATTATATACATATCACGCATAGTATCCTTACTCCTGTCCTCAGCAGACATGGATGGATGGATGGTAATGACGGAAAAATAAAAACAGCATCATTCTGATTTTACTTAAAAACACTTACACATATACAGACTTGCATATACAGTAGAAATACAGCTGACTTCTTTTTTTCTGCTGCTGGTTTTTACTTATCCTTTCAGGCTAAAAACCTCATCACGGCCACTGCACCATTTGCCAGCGAGGCAGAAGAATTCAGCTCATTTGAAAACTCAACTCATTTTCTTTTCGAGGATTAAGGAATGCATGATAGATTGATAGATCAATCCCAGGTGCCTGGCCCAGAACAGCAGATTTGATATACTCTAATGACTGTGTACCTTGGCAGGGATTAGAATGTAATGAGTTCACAGGTAGAGCACGGGCACACTTGCACGGCTGAACACATTGTGCAGACAAACTAGGTGTGTATAGTATGTAACTGTATATAGGTGGAAAGATTTGATGGAGTGTATGAGGTTCTGATTCAACAAAAAGCTCTTAACCGATTGAGCTGAATGGGGTTTTCTTTTCCCTTAGCTATGAATGGACTGTGCTTGTATGCTACATAGAAAACAATGCAAAAAAATACCTATAGAGATTAATTTCTGTAAAAAAAATAAAGCAAGAATGCACATTATTTTTCAATTCAAGCCCATGACATAAATGGACACATTTTGGACATTTGAAAAAAAGACTGTACATTGTTGGTTTTACTAATGTTTATTGCGCATACAGTTTTGTGTGTTTGCTCGTTGAATTGCACATTAATGCATGTATAATTTACCAAGTTCATAATTGGTATGATAGGATCAGGCACTTCTTCAGGAAGCAAAAAAAAAACCTCATGTATTGCCTTTTCCACTGTATCTCGCTGATGGCATGACGTCAGGTTTGGTCTTCCTCTCTAAAATGATAGTTTGGAACTTGAATACAAGAGAAGGTGGGCTGCAGATCCAACACATGCAGATACAATTTAATATAAACACAAAAAAGCAGAATATTTTTTACAAAGTTGGGTGCATCTTTTGTTTGATCCAGTAGAGTGGTAGCCATTGGGTAAGTCCCTATACATGGATTTATCAAACATTTTGCCAAATAAGCTGTAACATCTCTCTACCCACTCTTAAGCAGACCATTCCTTGGAATTCCAACAGAATAAAAACAAATCCTTCTTTGTTTGACTTATTATTAGTGGCTTCTATAATGGCTTCCTCTGTATAACTGTTTTCTCTCTTGTGTAGATGAGGATGGTTTACCTACTGGTACAGCAGAGTACCTGTGTGAGTGAGGATGAATGTATGGTCAATGCTATGCAGCTACACTATTAAACCTGATAATGCCTAAAGGCTACACACAGTATCTAAGCTAAATAGGTCTATACACTTACATGGGTCTATGTGCAGTGAAATACCTCTTTCATTACCTTTATTTTAACAAACTCTTCCTCTTCTTACTGAAAAGTATTTCACCGTTGACTCTGCCTAAAAGTGGGGAAAGGACTACCTGCTAACTACATGCAAATACATGCAATTATACATGAAAGCCCTGTAGTTAATGAATAATGGAGATGACTGCAGCTATGTTAAGGTTTTGACAGTTAAAATGTGTCACATTCTGTGCTTTGTAACCATATTTGTTCCTCCATGTATGTTTTGTTAATGGCTGTCCACCCACAGATCACTTACAGCACATTACCCTTGCATGTGTATAAATGTACATATTGTAAGTCTTGCCATTTGTTTTGTGTCTCATTTCCTCTCTTTTGTATCAGTATGATACAGTGTAGCTGAGCTCTATTAAAGGTGCTCTGCTTTTTTGCCTGTCTCAATAGCCTCTCCTTAAAGAATATCAGTCACACTAGACATTGATAAACAGAGGTTTGCTTAGAAAAGATGTTTATTGAGGCCATACACACCTATGGCACACAGGTGTTTTACAGATTTTTCCTGATTAATCCTCTTCTTATGCCTGTGTGAGCTTGTACACACTGCGCTTGATTGACACCCACCACATTCTCCTACTGCACCTGTTAGGACAACTCATGTCTTTGTTCTATTGGTACACTGAGATAAGTGACCTTATGTGATTCTCAGCGTAGCTCCACCCAACCTCAATAAGAGAGGAGGTCTAATCAGTCATAATAAGTGAAAACACCTGTGTAGGTATACAGGCTCTTATATTCTGATATTTCATGTTGACACCACTCATATTTCCCCTGTCTGCAATACAGAATATTAAAACGAAGTGGCCACATTATGCACATCAAGTGATACTGTTTGAGCTTTTTTTTTTTTTTAAGAAATAACATTTTGGGAAGTACACTTAATTCACTTTCTTGCCAATGGAGATTCCAGGAAGTCACTATGCCCAGCCACAAAATAGTTACAGCATGTAATTCCCCGCAATTGACAACTTGTCAGTTTTACATTTTAATTTGTGTTTGGATTAAAGAAATAGAATCAGCAAGGTTGTGAGCTTCAGGGCTGCTACGTGTATTTTTGAACTAGAGAGAGCCAAGCTAGCTGTTTCCAGTCTGTATGTAAAGCTAGGTAAACCCCCCTGGCTCATGCTCCATAGTTAGCGCACAGACATGAGTGGGATTGATCTTTTCATCTAACTCTCGGCAAGAAGCTATTTTCCCAACATGTTGAACTATTCCTTCGAACCAAGAAGACTTCTTAACTATGATACTATGTTCTATGGTGTTCTATGATCACTAACCATACTTGGCTGCTGGTGAGTAGTGGAGGAGGACTGAGTTATGAGGGTGTAGGCAGGGTAAGCCGTCCAAGTCTGACCTTCTCTATTTGCATCCAGGAAGTTTCTTGCTAAACATATCAGTCCGTGTGCACCAGGAATAGAGGCAGGGGGTAGTGTGTGAGGTTCGGTGCTGGAAAGGACTGTGGCAGTCGGTCATGATGACAGCGGCGTCGACAGTGACAGTTTGCTGACTCAGCTGATGTGTGGCTGACCCGTTGGCTGCTCCTGCAGGGGAAACTTTGCCTATTCATGGGCCATAATTGCCCCGTATTAGTCTGTGCTGTCGGCTGCAATGTTAGCTTTTGCCGTTTGCTTGGTTAGATACTGTAGGACAAATAAACACAAAGCAAGCGTGGGGTGCTACTGTTGGTCAAAACAGACATGCTTGTGGGGTGACACACATATGAAATGGAGTGAGGTTATGGCCTAAATCAGGTGTATGTCATGGTGGTATCACTTTTTCATGCATTAGTTTAGCATTACCAGATAAAGCCACACGTGACCTACGAAGCGAATGAAGCTAAATATTTAGAAATAATGTTTATAATTGGTCTTCAGGGTAACACTGGTCTTTTCTTCCTCCACAGTGATTATAAAAGCATTTAATGGCAACGTATCAGGCGACAGTGGCCCTCCAAGTCTCACCACACCTCCTACTGTTTTAGCCATCAGCCTGCGAGCACATAACTAATAGCACTTTCCTGGCTGAAGCATACAGTGTCCATGAGCTTTTTCTCACTCTCTTTGTCTCTCTCACACATACACACGCACTTTTACGAACACCAAAATCATCACAAACGCACACCGATGATCTCATTCACACACCCTGTCCCACAGTTGTACACTTCCAATTGCACGCAGTCTGTATTTGATCCTCGGAGTCTATTTCATGCTTGTTGCTGTGAAACTGAGTGTCTGGTTGGCTGCAGACGAGAGCAGAGACAGTGCCCAGTCCAAGGATATCGTGCCTCCTCTTCGCCTGAGCCGTAATTGAACTGCATTGTCCCTGCCTGACAAAACCAAAGCCGTCTGTCGTCCTTTAATAACCTCCGCTGACTGACGCAGAAAGCCATGGATTACTTTAAAATATGGACAATAATGGGAGCAAACTCAGACAGTGAAAGGAGTTAGTCTGAAAATGACTTTCAACTGGGCTTAAGTTAACTTTATAGAGACAGTTTAATGTCTTTAAAATGGGTAAGGATGATTCAGTGTATTATACTGTATGTACAGACACACATTGCAAGGAGTAGTGTGGTCAGTGAGTGTAACTGAGAATTCGGGGGACCTGAGGTCACAGCTGCTCAGCTGTCTGTCTGGGCTATTTTAAACGGTAGCACACATCAGCGCTTCTGTCCCACTGGCTTGGCCAAGTCCACACCTAAATGTCTCTCTCTCTCTCACACACACACACACACACACACACACACTGTAATCGTTCCTGCCTTAGCAAAAAGTAGATCTAACAGTAATTCACACATCAGGGATGAACCACAGTCGCATCACACACCGTGAAAAGAGCCTTAAGATGCATAACTGCGTTTTCTAACAGATGTCCCCTGAAGTCAACCTGATTGTGCGATAGCACGGTGACAGCAGTTGAGCAAACCCCCCCCCCTCCCGAGATTGTCTTACCTTTTCAGCCTGGGGATCAGAGTGACAAGCTTGAACTAGGAGGAGGGAGCAAAGGAGGCGGGAGGCACTGGAAATAGCTTTTCAAAGACGAACAATTGGGTGACATAGAGGGGAAACGAAGGGGCACCTGCGGCTCCTATTAACCACAGCTCTGCTCCTTGAGTTTCAGTCGTCAGCTGTATCTGTTTCCTCTCTGCGCAGAGCACCCTACGCCCTCACAACAGGCTAACACAAGCTGTCACTGCCAATTCTCCCTCTGTCACCCTGCTCCACTGGCCAATTAGAATTATGCTCTCATTGAGCTCTTGAGTTTACTCATTGAGTCCAATTAAACAAATTTGCGACATGGCAGACCATCAAGAGGAGCATCAGCAACACTGACAGAGATCTAATCAAGCAACTTTTGCTTGATTCCTCCTATTCACTTATTGGCCTCACTTGTCAGTTATGTTTCGCATTATGCACTGTGCTGCTGGCAGAGGGCAGGTAAACTGTGCAAAAAGAGTGTTAGGCGATGTTATCTTCCTGCAAGCTACCATGAGGTTGTTGTCATTTCCTGTCTGTGAGAAAAACTGATGTGGGGCAATGCACAGCTGTTTGTTGCTGACCGGAGACATATTATAAAAAACAAAATGCATGTACAAAACATTCATGCATACAAACAATTGTAAGAGTTTAAGATTGTCACTCAGTAGCCTCCTTCTGGCCAGTCTCTGGATGTGACGGATATGAAGGCAATAATGCAGAACAGTCATTCAAATGTGGAATAATCTCAGATCCCTCCAGAATCCCAATTTATTCTGCCTGTTATAAAAGACAAATAGAGGCAGACATGAACTTTCACACCACAAGCCAAAGGATTGGGTGTCTGGCATGGACCCCTGTCTAACCACTCTGAGGACACCCAGGTGAAGAGGTTTTCTGGACTTCGCTGACCACCACTCATGGTCACACAATCCCTGACCATATGTCAGGCAGATGAGAGTGAGGAGAGAAAGCATCTTGGTTAGAGGAAGATAGAAAATGTTTTCCCTCCCTCCCTCCCTCCCTCTTTCAGCTGGTAATACAACATATGGATTTTGCTTATTGAGCATCAGTGTGTGCTCATTTGCCAGCCTTTCTGCTCCTTACTGTACAGACTAATGTAGCTTCTAGGCCAAAATAAACAGGCCACATTACTGCGGTACCATCTCACCTGTAAAACTGCACAACACTGAATTTTATGCAAAGGATCTCACTGCTTTTATGTAGCATTTGCCAAGAAATATGAACAGGAGATTCTGTAGAGCCTATTATGTGTAAAAATATAGTCATTAAAATTCTGTTGGAATATGGGTTATATGTAAGCCAGATGTCTCAAAATATTTTCAAAGAAATGAAGCCCAGTATTAAGAGACACCTAGATGTCTTTGCACCTGCAAATAACCAAAAAGCCTACTGGGTTGTGCTATGTTGGCTGTAGAATATTAAACTGTAGTGTGAAATCATACTTTCTGCGTAGTTATGTTTCCTGCTGCAAATTATGTATTTCATCTAATTCCAATTAAATAAAAAATGGATTGCAAGTTTGTTGAATTATAATAATAAACTAACCAAATCCTGACAAGTAATTCTGCATAGGGCTTAATTACTACATTTAGGCATCATAACAAAAGTAATACTGTTAATGTCATTTATGAGATTTTGCTGCACACATTTCAGACCAGTGTTTTGGCTGAAAAACATCCACATTCCCATTATGTTTGGCTATCTGCATCCATTGGAGAGAGTGATTGCTGACATTGATCAATGCAACCATCAGTCTTTTCACTGCACCCAGTTTGACAGTTCTACCCCAGTAATGGCAGCACAGAATGAGAGTGGAACGCATAAATCAACCTCCACATTAGTCTACATTTTGACCAACAGATGCAAATTATTGTACACACTGTGCACATGTCATGCACATGCCCACAAAAGACTCAAAGTTATTTCCTGGCTGTTGAAAGAAACAGAAGTGCTGGGTGAGGATGAGTTGTCATTAGAATGTATTGTGTTTTAATAAGACCGTACAGGGGGGCCTGAACATTAGTCACCATGAAAGTCTAGCTGTTAGGAAAACAGATTAACTATGTTGCCACATGACAATGGCCAGCCGGAGAGAAATGTGGCCGGGCTAGCACGAGCCCCCATTCCAATTAGACCAGTGGGGTTGGCATTGGTGTATGTGTGTGTGGGGGGTGTGAGGTGTGATTGAGGAGCTTAAGAAAGAGTTTGTGTGTGTGTGTGTGTGTGTGTGTGTGGCACATGTTCAAGGCTGGTCAGCATCTCATGTTGAATTCTGTGTCAGGCGCGTTCTGTTTGGCATGCTACAGGCAGCCGCCTTCCTCATGTCCCGGAGATGGATGAGCACTGGTGTGAATGTTCCATGGCTCCCTTGGG